CAAACTTGGGTAATTAAACCATCGAAGCCAGCAGTGTGACCTCACAGCTCACATGAACTGTGACGTCACAGCTCACGTGAGCTGTGACGTTACAGCCCCGCCCCCCATGAGGGGTATATAAGGCAGACAAGACGGCGTCAGTCAGTAGTTAGCTCAGTGCGGGCTGGCGGACGGTCGACAATAAAGTGAACCGTTGAGTAGGCGATAGCGCTAAAAAGTCTTTGAAAAATCTATACTATCACTGAGTTGGCCTTCCTTTACCTCGACTCCGAAGCTCTCAGACGAGCTGAATCCACCAGTGTTCGCCCCAACTCCTGAATTTACCTCGACCAAGGTCGGATCATTCATTAATCAGTCTCTACGGGCTAGCGTACGGTTGATAACAAAGAGAGTTGAGGAATAAGCGAAGGGCTCAATTTGAAGCAAAGACTATTCGAACGCTACCCCGCTCTGCAATTGTAGTGTCCATTGCCCACTGCTAACAACTCTTTGTTTGCTTGAAGCGAACGACTAGCTTTCCACTGGAAACGCAAGATGCCGCCAAAGAAGCGTGCATCCATTGGAAGAGTTGATCATAAGGCCAAAGAGGTCAGGGATCAAAGAGAGGCTGAGGTCTCTGAGCAGCATCAGGAACGGCTAGAAGGCAATCGTGTTAGAATAGCCGAAGCGAGGGCAACGCAAACGCTGGAACAGCGTGAAGCAAATCTCTCGCAAACTCGCTTGCGGCTTGCTGTTCTGAGAGCCTCAAAGACACAAGAAAGTCTCAACTCCCGACTGGAAGAGGATCGAGTGAGACACGCTGAAACTAGGTCTCAAGAGACGGCAGAACAGCGCATATATCGGCTCGAAGAGAAACGATTGAGAACCGCTGAAACCAGATCTCAAGAGACGGCGGAACAGCGCGAAGATCGACTCGAAGAGAATCGATTAAGAACCGCTGAAACCAGGTCTCACGAGACAGAAGAACAGCGGGAACATCGACTTGAGCACACTCGAATGAGGGTGGAGGAGTCACGTAGAGAGTAGACCGATGTAGCACATTCAGTGCGGCTTGAACAAGATCGTGCTCGACATGCTTACGCTAAACAAAGATCCAGGCGAGTAGATCTGTGACTGGCGGCTTTCAGTTACAATGCCCAGTTCGACTATTCAACCCATCCGAAAGTCCAGATCGGAAAAATGGATGTCGTATGTGACAGGTGTCAAGCCAGAAAATTCAGAGCCGAACCTCCTGGCATG